TTCTTGCCCAATGGTGATGACAGACTGTTCTGAGCTAGTTCCACTTTCCCAGAGAAGCTACACATGGACACCAACCATCAGACCCTACCTACAGTTAAGTCCTACAATGAGGCTAATCCCAAGACTCAGTCAATAGGCGCTATTTGCAAAGACACACAGGGGGTTTCTGTGGGCAACTGCTATACTATCTTGCTACTCTGCTTTACTAAACTCCTGCACGCAAACATTCTTCCTCCTTTTCTGCCCTCTCCCCTAAACAAGCCCTCTTATAGAGAGAGCTTGGAAGATGGTTTAGGAATTGTATCTCTCCTCTTCAGGTGGAGTATACTCCCCCAGCTGACCAATTCAGGGCTGAATCATGCAACATCTTTTGAAAAATGAACGTACAGGACCCTCTCTGGTGGTGCAACTGGTTAAAGCACAGCACTCTGAGGCTGTCGTAACCACTGCGCACAAGTTCTATCCCCAGCCAGGGGGGTGATCCACAAGGGGTCTGACCTCCCCTGACCTGCTCGCTGCTCCCCTCAGCAGTGCATTTCAGTACTTCTGCTTGTTCTGCTCCCCACTCTGTCTCTGATGGATTCTCTCACCCCCCACCTCTCGCCTGTACCCCAGTAATGTATGCATAAGTAAATAAACCTTAAAAAAAAAGAAAAACGAACATACATGATTTGCGTGGAGACCTTAAATGTGGCTGCTTTGACTTGAATTCTTATGCTTCTGCAACCCCTACAAGAGTCCACCCTAAGGACTGGCTGACCCTTGATCCTGATCCCTGCAGCATAGAGTTCAACTCAGGCCAGTTCAGCTGAAACCAATGGAACCCCAGCCAAGTCACAAAATAAACATCTGCTGTCTTGAGACTGGAACACAGCAAGACTGTGTCGCGAAACGAACACATTAGCACCACCACCCTGAAGGCAACCGGAAACGCCGCCCTGTGGCCGCAGCACCTGCCCACTGCTCTGTCACCATGGGGCCTGCTTCTCGCTGAGACAGCCGCCCCCCACCCCCTTCCTCTACCAGGCTCCTCTGGCTTCATGTCCTGCCCAGCCTGGACTAGCCCATCTTTGCCAACCCTGGATCAACCAAATGATTAGTTTGATTCATTTCTATTACTAATTCAGCATCGCTAGACAGCAAGTCCTTCTAGGTCGACAGGCACTTGGCGTCAACTGGGCCCTTGGTCTTGCTAGAACATGTGGGAGCCACTCCTCCCTTGGGGGGGGGCGGTCTCAACTTCTGGGACTCTCAAGCCCCGGCCTCATGTCTCCTCTGCTCCCAGCAGGTTTCACAGCTCAATGAAAATCAAGATGTTCAAGGGGACCGCACCAGTGGAGGTAGGAGAGTTCTGTGGTTAAGAGCAGGGGTCTGTGATCGCACAGATCAAGAATCAGGTGATAGCTCTGCCATCACCTGTCTCTAGAACCGACCCTGCCCAGGGTACTTAGCTCTCAGGGTACTTAGCTGCCCGCCCTGGACTTCTCACTGCATCTGGAAAAAGTTTTCACCTAGTTTACTGATTTTGCTCCCATCACAAACCCTTTCCACTCAGTCACAAAGAGGCACTCCAAAGAAGAGAAAACTCCAAAGTTAACTTATCTACCTCAAGGTCAATGAGATATCTAAAACTGGGCATTGCATTTCTAATTACGCCTTTCTTAAACTTTTATTGAAAGCAATTCTTACCATCATGGCAATTCAGCAGTGTAAATAATAATAATAATAATAATAATAATACTAAACAGTGGCCCTTGAACAAGGCCAACATTGGGAGCACCAAACCCTTTGCATTGTCAAAGATCGAGGGATAACTTTTGACTTCCCCCAAACTTAACTGCTAATAACCTGCTATTAACTGGAAGTCTTAATGGTAACATAAGTTGTGACTAACATATATCTTGTGGCTACATGTATTATAAAGGGTACTCTTACAATAAAGCAAGCTAAAAAAAAATTAAGAAAATCACAAGGTGCATTTACAGTATTGAGTTTACCAATACCGTAAGTTGATATCATGTTTACAAAATGAATCATCAATATTATACGATACATTATAAATGCCACAAATATCACTAACATTAGACAAAAAATTGAAGATAATATGAAAAGAAATTCATATTAATTTATGCATTGAGCTCACTAGAAAAAACTCCACACATAAGTGGCTCTACCTGGTTCAAGCCCATATTGTTCAAGGGCCAATGGGATTTATTGTTACTTGAGAATTTGCTAAGTGCCAGGCAGAGTGCCAAGTGCTTCTCACATGTTATTTAATTCTCTAAACATTCTGCACAGTGGAGAGTAGAGTGTTCCTCCCATTTTAAAAAAGAGGGAGTTGAGATTAGCAAGTTGAAATGACTCGATCATGGTTACAACACTAATGACTGGCAAAGCCCAGTGTTAGTAAGTGACCGAGGGGTACCCAGGGGTCCCAAATAGTGTGCAAGCTCTAAAGTGGGGTGCTGCCATCTGCTGAATAAAGACAAAGGGAGCAGATTGCTTAATGCGATATATATATATATATAGCACAGATATATATATATATATATATATA